ATTAAAAAATTAAAATTAGTCATAAATTTAAAAGTTGCGATAACTTTTTTTTTGGTCCAATACTTTTGACCGGGGAGCGTACATCATAAAAAACTGAGGAATAGCATTTTTACTGCGCCACGGTCGCGTGATACTGTTCTGACGCCGGAACACCCTCAAAACTTGTATTTTGTATTCTCATGTATTACTTTATTAAAAAAATATAATAAAGATTTCACTTTAAATTTTTTAGATTTGTATTTGCGTAACTGATTAAGATCAATCTTTCATATATATATATTGATCCACTTACTGATCCCCCTGAAAGTCAAATTTTTTTCTTTACTCCAAGGTTAAGTATTTAATAACATTATTAATTTACATTATACATACGTCTCTTTTTTGTTGCATGGGCATCACCAAGCACTACCTGGCAGTTCAACACGAAAGGTAGCCTCTTGGTCGGACAGTTTGTCCTTGGACAGATTGGATGCTGGCAGTAACGACCCAGGGTTTACATGTAAATCTTCCGTATTCAACATACGTGTAAGAAAAGAGGCTGTAGAAAGAGTTCACTTTTGGGGATACTTGTCTGTGTTACAGGAGGTTACTCAGACGGGGACTGCAAAAGAATATTTGTCATGATTTTGTTGGTACTGTGAATTAAATAAAACACACCTTTTTTTGCAAAGGATAGATGATCAAACGTGAAGATTTCAGATTAGACGCAAACTTTTGCAAACCACACACTGGGATCAGCAACTTTTTTTCTACAACCTGTTTGTCGCGGTGGAATAACATTGAAAATTTCACAAGATTAGCGTACACGAAAGATCCAACGGTAACGGCACAAAAAGTGCTCGATCAATATATTCGAAACCTTGTTGACATTACAAAAATGAACGTTGATTCTGATGTTGCAGATCATGTTCGCAATCTTCGTAAAAAGATAATTGTATGATTTTATATTTAATTATATCCGTGGCAATTGACCTCTCCAATCTGATGAGTTTTATCTTATTAGAACACCGAACATTTGAAAATAATTGGTGATACTCTGCTGAATTTAATACAAGAAGATGCAAAAGTAAGTACGAAAGCCATTGTATTTTCAGAAAGCCATACCGTACATAATTTGTTGTTTACTAACGATATCTCACTTTAGAAAAGGAAAAGAAAGACTGACCAAACTCGAAAAGATTTTCAGAGCGCAACAAAAAATGATATAGAAAACCGAAAAACTGCAGGATATGTTAATAGCAAGGTAGGTATATGTTACTGTTGATATTGTTTTTTATGGCAATCTGACTTTGCATTCCTGTAGGACTTGGATGAAGAAATCGAAAGATTCCTTCAAGGTCCAAACGAAAAACAACCCAATCTGTTCGCTAAGAGACTGCGTGAACGTGAATGTACACCGCATGACGAAGTGCAAACTGATACGATAACCCAAAAATCTGATGATGATACAGATAGAGAGATCTGCGTTTCAGAGGACGAATGTTCGGAAACAAGTAATGATGCGTCAGATCACGAGGTAATTACATCTGGCGGGTGTTATTAATCTATTAATCTTAAATGTTTATTGTTCTCGTAACTATCTATCTTGTGAAGGAGACGGTTGAAGAAGGAGAAGAAGAGGTGGAGGTGGAGACGACCGACAATAAAAAGGCGAAAAACCAAGTAATATTTATTAGAATTTTTGGACCTTTTGATTTTTAGAAAATAATGAGAATTTCCATTTAGAATGGACAATTCAGACTGAGCAAAAAACACCGACAGATTGTTGAGCGGACATTTAATTGCATGAAAAAGGAGAATATGTGGAGACTTTCTACGGGAAAATATGTCGAAAAGGAATTATTTGATTTGGGGAAGAAGTTAGAATTTGAACAGTCAGTATTATCTAAATGGCTTTTCGGTGGTAATTGCGTCATGGAAAACAATATTGTGCTAAACTTTTATTTCTTAGTGCCGTGCACTCTTTCATTGTGGATGTAGATGACGTAATAATCAGAGAGCATTTTAACAAGACAGAGTTAGATGAAATTGATAACGCCCCTGCCCCACAGGTGCCTGAGCTTTCAGACGAAATCGTTGAATTTCTAAACAAATTCTGTCATAAGGTAATACTTATTTACATGATATTGATAATATATACACGTATTGCAACAAGTCATTAATCTCATTTTCTGTTATAGACGAAGTTGGATGACATTAGAATGATAATAAAGGAAACGATGTTTGACGGCAGTTACGATCGTGAAAAAGATCACGATAAAGATTATATTATATACGCTATATATTCGTTGTACGTGACTGTTTTGTATATGCACATTATAGATGTATTAATAGTGAGTTGACCAAATATATTTTTATAGAGTAAGAGAAATCCAAAACGAAAGCCTGAAAGACGTAAATCTTGAAGCGTGGTTCAACTGTCACGTTTGGAATGCAATTTTTGATCAGGCTTTTGGAGACCTAAAAACAATATCTGTTGTAAGGTAATTTCTATAAATGTAAATTGCTTTGACATATCTGACAAGATTTCTTTTAACAATCCAGAGGGGAAAGTTCAAGCTTAGCGTCGGCATCACGAAAAAATTCGGAGAGGAAATCAGGGGAACGGCGAAAAATGGGTCGCAGGGGCGACTGGATTCTTAGAAGAGTCAGCAACGGTGTTAAAGACGAGTTTGGAGCTGGGGAAGCTGGGAAAAGTTGGTTTGATAAAAATGGAACGAAGGTTCTCAAGGAGAAAGGATTAAAGTTGCCTAAAACGCTAAAAGACATGTTAAAAAAATTGATGGATAAAGTAGATTGGGATTCGAAAATTCAAACGGTTGTATGTTCTCCCCGTATCTGCAAGAATCAATCAGTCATCTAATAGTATCTTTAATTTATAGGGATGATGATCATGACGATTTACATGGATAACCCGAAGGGCTACATATGTAGGGTTCGACATGGTGAACCAATGGAGGTTCCGGATGAAGAAGAAAATTTTTCTTCCGTCCTAGAAATTCTAGCATCCGTTCTGAACATGAAGGTTAGGTTCAATCTTTTTATCTAAATGATTATGCATCTATACCAATATAAGCTGACGACTTCATAAATGCTAGGCTGTGGTTCTGGAGACAATGAAGGTGGTGCGTGTAAAAAACATAAAAAACAAACAATCATTTAAGAAGGCTGGATTTCGTAAGAGACCTCGAGACGAAAATCAGATTCGACTATTTCCTTGCTTACCAACTCCGAAAAAACCTAAAGTATGCGTAAAAGCAAATGCAGAGAAATCACATCCATCATCGCCATGTCCTGGGTCATTACAATCCACATTACCGTTAATATAATCCTAGATTAAGTAGGATGGTTTCTTAATATTGTATATTACAATTATTCAATTCGGAATGTGATGTTGGATGTGCAACTATGCGTCGAAAAAAAAAATAAATTTATTTCTTAGCCAATCACTAATGTTAGGCAACTGTGATCCGCATCGCGAAAATTTTTTGTGAACATTTACTTTTATGATGACACCCAAGAAGTAAATTCATAGCTTTCAATCATTCACATTTGAATCATTCACGTGAAGCTTTAGAGTTTCGCCAAGTCGAGCCTAGTGTTTTTTAGCATGTGTAATGGTGCACCCAATAAACAAATGTGATTCTGTACAATGCCATGTATAATTCCATAAAAGAATAGTTAGATTAAACTTTTGCAGAAGCTATGCTTGAAAGGCCGATCATCTCATGATTTATAGTAACTTGCCAGCTCCTGGAACATTCTCAGAACTATCGAGGAACTGGTGGAGATCACATGTGATACGATATACAGTAGCGGTCATAAGTATCCGACCGCCTCTAACTCCGGCTACAAGTAAGTAAATTCAAAAATTTTTTTTTTTATTTAAAAAATACATAACCAACTAACTAAAATTAATACATTGTGTAGTTACCATCTGACTCT